ATATATATGTTTGTTACAAAGTGAAGAAATTTAAAAAATAGAACATATTGTCAGAAGACTAAATTTTGAGAAACTTACAGTAACAAGGTGTCTTCTAGTGCCATTCATCTTTTTTTTTCGCCTCTGTTGAGAAGAAAAAAAAAGTTTTCAACCAAAATTCAGATGAAAGCAGAACATAAATCCTTATCCCACTGTTTTGTCTTGTTTTTTTTTTTTGTTTGTTTTTTTACTGCTAATGATGATGACGTGGATTTATCCCTGCCACAGTTTCAGTTTTTACAGCCTTTCTCTGTTTTAACAGGTTATGTTAAAACTAGTCCGTCCCCTCTTCGGATCTGCCTGCCTGTATCCTGCCTCTGCCACGGTAACAAAGTTCACACTGTGGGAGTGAGGAAGCTGTCCAACCAGTCTGGCTGCACTGCTATCTCACTGCTCAGTCACTCAGCTGCTCGGCGTGCATCAGTACAGGATTCACTGGTATTACAGAGAGCTAACGCCGAGTATCACGTCACACCGCTTTCCTCAAACATATACACAGTATCACATTACAAAGAGCTTCCAACAAGTTTCTACATCAGCACTACTGAGAACTAACGTGTGGAAACTTTGGTTTTGCTTTGATATAACAAAAGTTTCCTTGAAACGGTTACACTTTATTATTGAAGAAGTTATAATCAATAAATCAGACTGTAGAGACTGAGACATTACATCAAATAACTTATTAATGGAGACATAGGAATAAAATAACACAATTCCATCCACTTCAAGGTTTGTGACATGACTGATTTAAAATAATTTGACAATAAAGCATGTGCTCAGATGAAAAAGGTTTCGCTGCATAAAATGTCCACCAAGTTTTAAAATCTTATATCCAGCCAAAATGTCTTTTTGAGACTGATTTACTAAACAAGAACTGATTGTGTAAGAATAATAATCTTGTTTTCAGAATGTGTAAGATTATTTGTCTTGTTAGTCTGAAAATTTGACTCAAATTCAGCCAAAAATTTCTGCCAATGGAGTAAGAAAATTTTACTTGGTAAGATTCTTAAAATACTTGATTTGACTCAATTTTTTCTTATTTCAAGAATCTTACCAAGTAAAATTTTCTTACAGCTAAATTGGCAGAAATTTTTGATTTAATTTGAGTCAAATTTTCACTAACAAGACATAATCTCACACATTGTGAAAACAAGATTATTATTCTTACACAATCAGTTCTTGTTTAGTAAACCAGTCTCAAAACAAGATCAAAAAGACTTTTTGGCTGGATATAAGATTTTAAAACTTGGTAAGATGGACAGTTTTTGCAGTGTTGAAGTAAGTCAAAATTTCCTCTGTAATATGGAATCCACTCACCTTGTTTTGAAGGTTCCTACTAGTTTTTGTCTCTGCTGTGATACTAAAATGTTTGCTGAGTCTCTACTGTAACGGCAGGTGCAGCCTACTCCCCTGCAAAGGTATGAAACAGCAAAGGAGTGTCGCGTTGCCTGTCAACAGTCCCGCCCAAACATAATCATACCTTGAAGATAAAAAAAATTCTCAATCAACCACCCTGTTTACAGCTGCACTTTCCTTAAAAGAAAAAAAACTTAAAATTGCATAAATTTTACCTGCAGGGATGCGGTTTTGGAGAAGATAAAAAAAAACTTATTGAAAACCTGATGACAAACAAATGCAGTGTGAATGATAAAAAAAGGTTGAGATGAAGCTTTTCTATGTTAAAGTACAAATACAGAAATTAAATAAAATACAGAACATTAGCTAAAAGAAGAAAAACTCCAGCTTAAAGCCAAAAGTAACAAAAGCTTAAGCAGCAAAGGAGCTAAAATAGCATTTTATGTTAAAAATGCTAAAMGCAGCAAATCAGTTAAACAGTTTAAAAGCAGAAACGTGCAAGTTACATGAAGCAAAATGCTATCAAAAACAGCTACAAGGTACAATTCAAATTCAATTCAAAAATACTTTATTGATCCCAGAGGGAAATTTGGTAATTTGGTTTAGGTTACACAACCCAGTGTCAGTCATGCTCCAGCTGCAGGACAGTTAACAGCTCATTTGACTACAATACTTTGATAAAGAAACGTATGGTGCACTCACTGCAGGGTGTCCAGGTCCAAATCATCACCCCTCCACTGTGCTTAGCAGCCAAAGGACATTTTTTTGTACTRATGTGTTGTTTGGTTTGTGTCAGACATGTTGTTAAAAAAATGACAGCTTTGTTTCAGAAGTCTTCAAGTTTGTTCAGATACAAACTTAAATCAGGTTGTAATACTTTTTTAGGAAGGTGGTCCACTTTAACAGGCACCATGATGACTTATACATGTTTACTCACACACTTCTTTTATGTTAGGCCCAGAGGCTCCAGGAGAGGGTGCTATGAATATTTAAAGTGAATTGCCACAAAGTCTTGCTTGAAAATGTGCCTCATATAGATAAAATAATACTGCATTATAAACTGTAATAATAAACAGTAGATGCTTTTTGGATTCCTCATAACTTTTGTGTCATTATTTGTAATCTTAAAGTTTTTTTTAATGAAATGCCTCTTGTTTCAGATATCTTTTGCTGAGAAGGGATGGAGTGCTCGGAATGTGTTGAAGATGACTCTCAGTTACAAACTTTACCTCAGCATGGACAACACTGACTGAGTTACAACGATTTTTGTGTTTGCTAAGGTTGATTAGTTGTTGTGGTCATCTTTATTCGGGGAGAATTTAAAACTTAATCAGTTGCAGAGTTACATCAAGTGAACTTTCTGAGAGTTTCAATCTGATAAGTGGTTTGTGAGATATGTTGCTAACAGACAGACAAGCAAGGTTGACTCCATTGGGTAAAGGCAAAAGCTGCAAAATGACCCAACAAACATAGTCACTTAAAAAAAAAAACAATATTGCCCTTTGAAGAAGGGTGATAAGAATCAGCCTTTTCTAAGTGTTTAGTGGTTATTTAATGGAAAGGCAGGACCTTAAAATACAAAATATTTAATTAATTCACCTTATTCATGAGCAGGTTAGAAATCCCCAAGAAAGGTTGTTGATCCTCATAAGGACTCCTTGTCCTAACATATGTTTGAATGGTCCAGATGTGTAACAAAGCAGGAAGACAAAGTTTGTGGGATGGGAAGTGTTGTCCAATAGGAGATGTCGGGGCGGAGCCAAGTGAAGCCTCTTATAAAGTTAATACAAGTTGACTTTGTCTAAGGATATTTGGACAACTTTTCCAACAAGGATTTCTTTTATTAACACAAGGTATTTAAAGACTTCATTGTTGGGTTTGGGCAGGAGGTTTTATGCACGTGACGTCGCAGTTTGGGAGCTGGTATAGAGTTTGTGGGGTTTTATTTACCTTCAGGACAGCATACGTGGCAGTGCGCGTGTTTGAGGAGAAAAGTATCTCTGCCCAGGTTTAATGAAAATGTGTTATCAGCATCATTTCAACGATCTATCCCTAGAAACACTAAGAAACAAACTCATCAGTGTGAAAACGATAGTTTAAAATCAGTGTCGCAAGTTAAAACATCACTTTTAACAATGTAAACAAATAATACATTTGTTAAATTTTTATGTTTTCAATTTGAAGTTTATCGTATCATAGGGAAAAAACGTAGATAATTCAGCATTGACTCTTGTTTTTGTCCTGACCTCATAGCGCGCACGTCGCGGAAATTCTGAAGCGCGTGCGTTCAAGTTCATATGACCATATCAGTAACACCGCGCGAGTCTTTCACTGTGAGAACATTCACAAAATCCGAGATTTATTAGGTCTACAACTAAAAAAAAATTTTTTTTGCATTCAAATATATGGAAAGAATTCCAAAAAAGGAAATTATACACACATACATTTAAAAGTTCTATAAATGAGGAAAAATCAAATTAAGGCTGTGTGGCAGGCCATTTTAATATAAAATCAAATTCACAATGCTTACATTTCAGATATCTGAAATTGATTTTTAATTGACATATTAGGTATTTAAGATATCTAAAATTATAAGCCTAATTTCACTAGTCAAAATCTCATTTTGACTATAAATGATGTCAGATTTACCATTAAGTTGTACAGAGGCTACAATTCACAGTGCCTTAAAATGAATTTTGACTAGTCAAAAATAAAGATATCTCTAAGTTTGTTTCAACTATTCATTGTTTGCTTTCAAGATATCTTGATTTTGGTTCTGAGTCATAATTCCAATTAAAGCTATCTTAAACATTATTCAAGGTATCTTAAATGTATTTTTAGATATCACATATTGCAGATTACATTGCAGATATCGTGCAAGCAAATAATGACGTGGCAAAACTAACTTAGAGATATCTAGAACTGTAATTATGACTGTACCTTTTGAAGATGCTTTCAAATAAATTCAAGATATCTTGACTATTTTTTCATCGAGATTGCTTTTCTATTTAAGATATCTTGAATGAACATTTTGACAAGTCTGAATGATATTCAAGATATCTTGAATAATTATTTTGACTATAAAGCATCATGGATTTACATGGCATTTTGGTGGAAAAATAAGGCAGTAGCCTACAAAGCCACTAGCTTTACCTTTATTTGATGTAATACCTTAATTTGAGACATCTTAAATTTCAGGATAGTAAAAATGTAGTTGTTTCTAGTCAAAACTCAGTTTTAGATATATATAATGTAATTAGTGTCTGACAAAGTCGATTTTATGTTAGAACGGTCTGCCATATTTTCATTGTTATTAGCTTTGGCCAGCCCGGCCACGTCTCTGCATTGTTCGAGACGTAACACGCTGCGTAAGTAGGTGTGGCTTAGCTGTTGCATCACGCGGAAGAAGGAAACTTCTGTGACCCTTCCTTCCGTACAAACACGCGGGTAAAACTCAGAGTCCCTATCTCGTTTTTATAACTTTCTTTTTAACTAAACGTGAACAGACCCAAGTATCTCATGTAATAAAGTAGGTTATTTTACGATTAGGCGCGCGTGTTTCGCCTGGCAGCTGAAGTCGCACGTGGTGCTAATCTCTGAACAGACTTAAGGCAAAAGCTTATCGTCTGTTTTCCGCCTCCAAAGAACAAGAACATCCCTTTCTCCTGTCATAAATAAAGATATTCTCGGAGACGAGGTAAGTYAGTTTATAAGTTAATGTTATATTATTTTTAAATATTGTTCTCATAATGAATCCAGATAAATAATAAGCATTCAGGAGGTTGCTGATGCATYTCAACACGCTTAGGTTGTATCACAGACACACCTCACCAAGCCATTTTTGTTTTTTAAATAAACATTTATGTGCAGTATAATGAGTAAAAAGGGGACCTATTGGATCTATAATCAGGGATTAGATAAACTTACCTGGACTACTAACTAACTCTCCATCTGTTCACTTAAGTGCATTTTGTCTTCATATCTCCACATTGTGATGCTGGAAAAATATTAGAAACACCTCTTATTCTGACATATTTCCAATGAAAGCCTTTAAAGAGGGAAAACTTGTTTATTTAGAGCAACAAGGATAATATAAAAGAATAAGTGCAGCAAAATGGCTGCATTCAGTAGGGATGTGGATAAATTTTTAATCCTACACCAATATTAAATCTGACAGCGGATTCTAAAAGAACATTTCAAACCATACAACATAACACCAAAATCATGTGATTATCTGAAGTATGAGGGAAGTTATTGATGTTTGTTTAGGTGAAATTAGCTCATGTTTTCTTGCTGCAGTTCCCAGCAGAAACAATGGGGCCTTTGTGACCATCTCACCTTGCTGTTTTCTAATTTTGCTCATAACTTCCTCAGTGTTCAAGATATCGCCATGAAATTTTAGGAAAAGATTCACATTCTGGTTTTGTAGGGAAGCATCTTGTATCCTAAAAAACTAATAAAACTTAATAATAGCCAATTCAAAAGTAGCATAAAAGGTATAAAATAACATTACAAGGCAAACTGTAGCATCAAATCAACTTAATGTGTCTTAGAAAGTAAGGAAATTAAAACAATTTAAAAACCATGTGGACATCTGTTTTGTAAACAAAGCTCCTCAATTAATGACAGCGTGTTAAATGTGTCAAGTGACGAAGACGAGCATCAAAACACTTTCCAACAAGTGCTGAACCGGTTTAAAAAAAACATACAACACGCACAATAAAATAAGGTAGTTAAGGTCAGATAATTACCTTTGCTGTTGTCCGTGAAAAGTTTGAGCAAATATAACCCTGCTTTGGTGTTAAAATCTTTCTGCTTTGGAAAGTGTCTGCTCAGTAGTCATTCTAAATCTCTTAAAAGTCAAAGTGTGTTACCTCATTAGTGTTTGTTCTGTTTCCTAATGTTGACTCCGCTCTGAGATGGAGAAGCAGCCTTTGCCAACCGATGACGACAGACCAGGAGAGTCGGAGCTTGACATCTATGTTCAGGACAGGCAGCAGGTCTCCTCTGAACCTGCCTCTCGAGCAGGGTGGAACAGTAAAATAGAGTACTTTTTGGCTCAAGTGGGATTCAGTGTCGGACTGGGCAACGTCTGGAGGTTTCCGTATTTGTGCCACCAGAACGGAGGAGGTGAGTACTTACGACTCCYGTCTGTATGAGAAGGTTGCTGCAGAACTGTAGTTTACAAGAAACTAAATGCAAATGTTTTTGACTCAGTATGCAGCTGTTACACAAATAGAAAATAGGGTTGTCAGTTTTGTAAACATCATTGGACAAGTATGTGATGAAAGGCAGACTGTTGTTATTCTCTTAAAGTGTGTGTAGGAACATGTTACCTACCAATAGCTTCATTTAGAAAGTATTGTGTTACAAACGATGCATACTGAAGGATGGAAAACTACATTTTGAACAGAAAGCAGTAGCTGCTTGACCATCAAAATATTTAGGTTATATGGCTTATTGATTCTTGTTCGTCTCGTCTCAGGAGCTTTCCTCCTCCTCTACGTTCTGCTGATGCTGGTTGTTGGGATTCCCCTCTTCTTCCTGGAGCTGGCAGCCGGCCAGGCCATCCGACAGGGCAGCATCGGAGTGTGGAAGTCCATCTCGCCGAGGCTCTCAGGCATCGGCTACTCCAGTTGTGTGGTAAACAAACGTTTAACCATTAACCCTCCTCACTATAATACTGTTGTGAAACAGGAAGAGTGCACTGCCACATGTAATTTTGGTAAGCCTATATTTGCTTCAGTCAGTAATTTCCTGTTCAAAACCCTTTTCCCAGCTGTCAGGAAAACACCTGTGCTTTATTTGAAGAGTTTAAAGGGATCCCTGATTAGTTGTAACATTAGACTTTATATGATAAACATATATTTTAACTGTAAAATAAAGACTGTAAA